CTCGATTCTCAACCTTTCTATTTACGATGACAACAAGGAGCTGATCATGCTCGCCAATGCCGTCCCGCCGCTCGTCCGCGTGCTCCGGGCTGGAGGGCCCGAGGCCCGGGAGAACGCGGCCGCGACCTTGTTTTGCCTCTCGCTCGTGGACGAGAACCGGGTCGTGATCGGGGCCTCGGGGGCCATCCCGCCCCTGGTGGACTTGCTCAGGGAGGGGGGCCCGCGGGGGATGAAGGATGCAGCCACTGCACTGTTTAATCTGTGTGTGTATCATGGGAATAAGGGACGGGCCGTGCGGGCTGGGATTGTGGAGGTGCTTCTGGGAATGCTGGCGGGCCCGGGAGGGGGAACATTGGTGGACGGGGCGCTTGCGATCCTATCGGGCCTTGCAGGCCACCGTGGGGCCCGGGAAGCGATCGTGGGGGAAGGGGGTTTGCAGGTTCTGGCCGGGCTGATGGGGACGGGCTCGGCCCGTGTGAAGGAGAACGTGTGTGCGGTTTTGGTTCGTTTGTGTGGGAAGGATGGGGAGAGTCTGGAGGTTCTGAGGAGGATGGGGGCAAGGGATCAGCTTGAGGAGATTGCGGCAAATGGGACGGAAAGGGGGAGGAGGAAGGCGGGGTGGTTGCTCGAGGTGCTCGGGGGACAGAGGCCGGTTTGACTTTGGTTTTTTTTATTTTATGTTTTTAAACTGGGGGGTGGGGGGGTATAACTGGCGGGGTACACGAGTTTTATGTGTGTGTGTGGAGAAGGAAAGGGGGTAACTGATTGCAGCATGGTTTTTGTGAAGAAAATCTCATGATTATTTTACGTCCGTTGATTTTGTTTGTTGTGAAGAGTCACTAATTATGTGACCAAGAAGAATCACTAATTCAGTAATTTGTCTTTATTGATGATAATATTTGGTTGAAAGACATGCGAAGAGTCTCATAAGGAGATGTGATGTTTTGAACATGAAATACAATTTCTTCGTTTTCTCCTTACCATTTAGTTATGATACTTGAGAATTTAGTGGACGCACTTACTAAAATACTTTTACTTTGATGGGATGGGAAGTTTAGGTAAATGTACAATTTATCACTCCTTACATGCTTGTGTCAAGGAGATTGAAAGGAGCCCGAACAAAAAAAATAAGCCTAGCTTCTTACCTACCTCTACTATTTTTATCTCTCTTCCAAAATCAGCTTTCGTCCCCAATCAGATATGGTCTGCCGCGGCCTCTCCGCTAGCCGCGGCTCTCCTCCCTCGATGGGAGCCAAGGCCTGTCGTGGTGTAAGTGTTGGTCGTCGATCCGAGGTTCGCTGCTCCAGTCGTAGCATGAGTTTCCCCTCCTTTCCCATCGGAGGGCCATGGCGAGTGTAGTAGAGGCTAGGTTCGGGTGACTTTGTGGTGGCCGCAGGCGCTTGACCGACAGGTGGCAGTTGGAACTCGTGGCTGGCTATGCGGCTCTTCCCTCCTGCCCCTATTTAATTTACTTTAAATATTATTTAACTTTAAATTTAAATATTTTAAATATTATTTAACTTTAATTATTATATTTCAAATATTATTTAACTTTAAATTTAAAATCATCCACTCAATATACATTGTTCAAATTAACTTAATTTCACTCACTTTAACCAAACAAAACAGGTCGAAACGATTGGATTCATATCCAATCGCGTAATTCTTCATTTATACATGAATAATGTTGAAAAACAATGATAGTTATTATGTGCCACCTAGGGAGCTAGATGAGCAACACGTGTTGCCAGGCAAAAATCATCTTTTGATGGCATAACCTCTATTTTGACTTTTGATGATGGGATCGGTTGTGATATAGCATCTAAAATAGCTCGATTAGCCAAGAAGGAGGGTTAGCTTGGTCGTTGACGGTTCAAGAAAGATCCATATGGTTCATTATTTATACGTTACGACAAGCCCCATGTAGCTCGGAGATCGGTAGACTAAGGAAGCTCAAACATCACAGAGATCCAGGTAGACTGGAGGTCGGAATACCTAAAGAGCTAAGCTGCAGGATAGACCTCATGGCCTGTAGGTTTACGAACCTGCCAAGACTAGTGGCATGTAGGTGCAGAGGTCGGATTGATGACCTCGAAACCTAGGAGCCATGCAATATGAGAGGAAAGAATCTTTCATATATGGATGTGAAGTATATAATGACAACTCTCAGACCCTTAATCTTGCTAGTTAGAAAAACGGATGCGAGATGATATCTTTTCTAACAATGACTCTTTTAGTCACTAAGTTATCCTAGTATATAAGGGTATCCAGGTCCTTTACTT